GTCTTGATTCCACTTAAAATATGCTCTAATTTATTTTCTTAAAAGATTTCCACCTCACTGCATCTAAATTCTTTTGTGGCTAATTTCACTGGTTGCCTAGAAGTATGCTGCTTAATTTCCAAACATTTGGAGATTGTCCAGATACCTTTTTTCTTGTTCATATCTAGCTTAAATCTATTATAGTTAGAGAAAATATGAGAAAAGTCTGATTTGAGTTCTTATGAAATTAAGATTTGTTTTATGAAAAAAACAACATCTGAAATAAAAAATTTATTCAGTGGGCTCAGTAGCAGACTGGAGATGACAGAAGAAAGAATCAGTGGACTTAAAGATAGATGAGTATAAAAATGTGATTTGAGCTTGAGCGACAGTAAAAAAAAAAATGAGCAGAGCCTTAGGAACCTGTGGGACAATATCAGAAGTCTTTGGAGTCTCAGGAGAAGAGGAGAGAAATGTTCATTTGGAAGTACTGGCTAAAATTGCCCATATTTGGTGAGAGACATAAATTTACAGATTTCAGAAACTTGGTAAATACCAGATACAGTAAACTCAGAGAAAATCATTTCTGGATACATCATAATTAAAGTTCTGAAAATTAAAAATATAGCTATAGAAAATGACATTACATATCTGGTAGAGCAATGACAGAAATATGTGGATTTCTCATGGTAGCCATAAAGGACAGAAAACATTGGAACAACATCTTTAAGATTCTTAAAGGACTTGTCAACACAAAATTCTATATCCAATGAGAATGTTCTTCAGGAATGAATGGAAAAAATGCCACACCTGTGCTAAAGGGAGCACTAAAGGAAGTTCTTTATATAGAAATGATACTAAATGGAAACTAGGAACTTCAGAATTGATGAAAGAGCTCCAAAGGTAGTTTTTTGGCAAATATAAAATACTGTTTTTCTACTCTTTAAAATATACATGACTGTTTAAATAAAAATTATAACTTTCAGGCCGGGCGCGGTGGCTCACGCCTATAATCCCAGCACTTTGGGAGGCCGAGGCAGGTGGATCACGAGGTCAAGAGATCGAGACCATCCTGGTCAACAAGGTGAAACCCTGTCTCTACTAAAAATACAAAAATTAGCTGGGCATGGTGGTGCGTGCCTGTAATTCCAGCTACTTGGGAGGCTGAGGCAGGAGAATTGCTTGAATCCAGAAGGCGGAGGTTGCGGTGAGCCGAGATCGTGCCATCGCACTCCAGCCTGAGTAACAACAGCGAAACTCCGTCTCAGAAAAAAAAAAAAAATTATAACTTTCTTGGATAGAGGTTTTTGTGTATATAGAGTAGTATATGCTAATGAAACAAAGTGGAGAGGTAGTGGGAACTATTTGTTGGTAAAGCATCTGCATTTTACAAAAAAGTAGTGAAAACAGTAATACTAAATACACTGTGAAAGATGACATGTGTATTACAACTGTAGAGTAACCACTGGGAAAAAAAGAGGACATATAGCCAAAAGCTGATAGATAAAATGAATGGAATATTTAAAAAAAAGTCAAATAACCCAAAAGAAGGCAGAAAAGGAATAGAGGAACAAAATCAGGGAGGACAAAGAGGAAAAACGATAATAAAATGGTAGACAGAAATCCAGCTATCTCAATAATTACATGAAATGCTCATGGTTTGAATATGTCAGTTAAAGGAGATTGTAATATTGGATACAAGGCAAGAACCAAGTATGTGCAGTCTAAAAGAACTCCATTTAAATATAAGGACATACATAATCTGAAAGTTAGAAAGAGAAAAGGAGCTATACTATGGAGTGGCTATATTAATATGAATGTAGACTTCAGACCAAGGCCAGGGATGCCAAGGGACACTACATCAAGGGTCCATGCCCCAACCAGATATGTAATCCTAAATGTGTACCCACAAAACAACAGTTACGTGTAGAAAAACTGACAGAATTAAAAGAAAAAATAGAGAAACCCACAGTTCTATGTAGAAGTCTCAACATTCTTACAGTAATCAGTAGAACAAGAAGATTGCAAACCAGTAAGGATTCAAAAGACCTAAATAATACCATTAACCAGCTTGACCTCATTGACATTTCTAGAGCCCTCTATCAACAACAGAATACACACAGTTTTCATGTGCCTCAGTTTTGATTGTTGCTGTTGACCTGTCTTTGAGTTCGCCAGTGTTTCTGCTGCTTATTTCTGATCTATCTTTCCCACTTGGTTGCAGATTTCTACGTAGTGAGAACTGTGTCAGATTGTCCGTTTGCTTGGCAGAGAGCCACTATTCGGTACCTAACTGTGGTTGGTGCAGCTTTCCAGCAGGCAGCAGGAAGTAGGGACCTTCAATTCAGTGAGAGTGTACTCAGATTTTCTGGAAATAGATGTGAGCGAAATAAAAGATGTGAATGTTCTCTGTCCTTATCTCTGATCAGTTTTGGTGGGTTGCTGAAATCAATAGATTTTTCAGAACGTTGTAAAGGTGATGTATACCTATTATTATTACTGACCTAAAATAAATAAAATAAAACCAGGGCCAATGAGATTTATTTCCTAGTGATAATGAGGATAGTAGTAACAATAGCTGACATTGATCACTGATTTTCTAATATTTTGATGCATTGAACTCGTTTATCTAGACTTTATCCCAAAGGCAGCTATGCACATGTTTTTACCAAGAAAAAAAAAAATCAAACTTTTAATTCTGTCAAACATGCAGAAGCAACAATAGTCTATAGGATGACCACTGTGTGAATTCATATTGAACAAGAGTTGCCTTTTCTTTTGAATTCTCAATACCCCTTGGCTAATTAGTGACCCTCAGCTTGACACAGGCGGTCTGAGAGATCTAAACTGGAAGGTTGCCTTCACGCGGAGTGCGTGCCTGCGTAGACATCCGCAGCACGTGTTGCTGCGGCTTCCCCTTAGTGACAGCTCCAAGGGCATCTTTTAAAAGAGAGAAATGGGGATCTGGGAATCAGGATGCCTGGCTCCCAGGCCCTTCTCTCCTCCTGGCTTGAGTGTTCTCTGGCAATTTTCTTGAGAGGCCAAATGGCCTAGTGGCTAATTGCATGCAGGCAGTTTGCAGGCAAACTGCCTCTATTTATGTCCTGGTCTGTGGTTTGCAATCCTCTCTGCACACGGTAGCCATCTGAGGGATTTTGTAAAAACTCTTCTTTCTCAGATCCTGATTTATAGGTCCTGGCCATGGGTCTGGACATTGGTTTTATTTTTTAAAGCTCCCAATTGAGACCAGTAAGGTGGCAGATTAAGAGCCACTGTGCTAGTTAATTGAGAACACAGACCCTGGGCTAATGGTCCTGGCCGTTCTAGCTAAAATGATAAAGTAGCTTAAAATATTGATGCCTCAGTATTCTGAACTGTAAAAGGAGTACAAATTGTAACTTCTTGGGTGGCTGTGGGATTAAATGAGGGAGTTCCTCCAAAGCATATGAGTTGGTCTCACCACATTTTCTGCTTCCTCTCTTGCCCTAGGTACCCTCTAACTCTCATTCTGTTTCAATAGTCTGATGATGCCTTTCTCTTTGAGTGGCAAAGATAGCTCCGTCATCTTCCAGCACTGAGATCAGCCCTCATTTTCTCCACTGAGCCCGTCCATCCTCTCTCATCATATATGGGTGTGAGGGCCCTTCCATGCCCTGTCAAAAAACCCCATGTACCCTCTACCCTGGTGTCTATCTGGGTACTATATTCCTTTTAGAAGGTGACCCATAAATACTGGATAAGTGAAAGGAAACTCAGCTCTTTTACTGCTGATGATGCAGCCAAGTTCATACTTGTCCTTGGTCGTTGTGCTTACATCCTCTGCATTCTACAGCAGTGGCCAGGTAGAGGAGGAGGGAGCAGGGGTGTCTGCTGGACTAGTGGACCTCTGAGGCAGTGCTAAAAGGCTCTGCCTTATCCACAGTTCATGTTCAGTTCCTTTTTTATTGTTTTGAGTTCTTTCTCTTCCACAGATAGCCTTAAAGCTGCCTGAGAACAGTAAATAAAGTAACAAACCTTGGGGAAGAACCATGAAATTAAACTCCTGATCTCCAGTCCTCCCCAGGGTCAGGCACTGAGCTGCTTTTCGCAGAGGAGCACACGAAGCCCCACAAACAACCCTGCAGGTTAGGCGTTCTCATCACCAATGAGATTTTGTCAAATCTAGACGGAGGATCATTTTTGTTTAACATGAGAAATGTAGTAGTATCACAGGTTTCATTAGTCTTTTGTTATATCCCTGTGGGAAGACGGATGTACCGCTGAGCTTCCACTGAGCTCAGGAAGAATATTTACTAGCCACTGTATTTTTCATAAGGGTAGTCTCAATGTATATAGTATACCGTGGCAGCAAATAAAAGTAAGAAGCCAGAGCAGACACAACCAGAAGTTAAGGGTGACTTTCCTGGGACAGAGCAGTAATCTCTGCTCTCCAGATGTCTTACAAAATACATTTGCAAGGGCAATTTTTATGATACAAAATATCATCTGCATCTCTGCAGTTGCAAGGAAAGAGATCCCTGGTGTTGTTATAATAGGTTTTCACTGTGCACACAGAGAATCCTAATAACAATCATATATTGTTGGCACCGTGTGATCTGAATTTTGCAGATGACAGAACTGAAACATTTGAAAGGTTCATGAATTTAACCATGGTCACTCAGCAAGTATATAATAGCACCAGGTTTTGAACGTAGACATTTTGTCCCCAGAGTCCACTTTTAACCGGTACATGACATGCCACCGCCTTTCCTTTCCCACATCTCCCAGGATGAGAAGGAGCATGCTGGGAGCTGTAAGGCATGTGAGGCTGCTGGGTACAGCTGTACAGGTTGCTCCATGCATGAGCGCTCCCTGCCAGGAGAGCACAGTGGTAGCTGGAATCTAGCCCATGCTACCTGCTCCTTAACACATGTCTGTGGCCACATTTGCTGGAGGAAGGGACACCTTTTTCTAATTTGCACAAAGATATATTTCCCTCTTAATCATGGCTTCTGTCGTATTACCCTGTTCTGCCTTCTCAGGTCTCTGCCTTTCCCTAGAAAAAGGAGAAAATGATCAAATTTCAGGTGAGTTGGTTTTCATTTCTGCCGTTTTACATGTGACCCCATTTTACAGTGAGTGGACACATCTTTTTCCCCCTTCTTTGCCAAGAGTAAAGAATGACTACAGGCATTCAGTATCATTTATGTGTCAGGCTCTTGCTTTTGTGTTTGTCCTTTTCTGAAATTTCCTTTTACTTTTAAATGTCTTTTATGATTTATTTCATAAATAATAGTATTAAAAAAATAGAAATTTTAAAATCCCACACCCCATTACCCTGCTTACAAATCTGTTTTTGTTCATGGTCTTTTTTTTTAAATTTATTTTTATTATTTTTTTAAATTTATTTTTATTTTTTTATTTTTTTTGAGATGGAGTTTCGCTCTTGTTACCCAGGCTGGAGTGCAATGGCACGATCTCGGCTCACCGCAACCTCCGCCTCCTGGGTTCAGGTAATTCTCCTGCCTCAGCCTCCTGAGTAGCTGGGATTACAGGCACGCACCACCATGGCCAGCTAATTTGTATTTTTAGTAGAGACGGGGTTTCACCATATTGACCAGGATGGTCTCAATCTCTTAACCTCGTGATCTACCCGCCTCGGCCTCCCAAAGTGCAGGGATTACAGGCGTGAGCCACCGTGCCCGGCCCTTGTTCATGGTCATTTTTAAAAAATATAACTGTTCTTGTAGTAATACATAGCAATTTTGAATTAGGCTTTTAATCTGCTTAAAATAATAGCAGTTAATTTTTATCATCTTTTACAATTGATGATAAAATAATCAATTGTAAAATCACATAATCTTGACTCAAAAAGCAGTTCTGAGAGAATTTTGATATTATTTGTCCATAATGTTCTAGGGACACAAACCTAAAAATATTTTCTCTGAAGTGATGTCTCAGTGGAAAACATAAAATAAGGTTTTGTCTAACAAGATTATATTGCAGGTAAAATTGGGGGAAAAATAGATGTTTTTGTACAAGAAGAGCTAGATTCTTCTTAGTACCTGAAGCTATGTGTGTACCTGTATATGTTTGTATGTGTGTGTGTTTCATTATTCATGTATTAATTTTATTAAAGTAATACAGGCATTGCTGGGCGCGGTGGCTCACGCCTGTAATCCCAGCACTTTGGGAGGCCGAGGCGGGTGGATCACGAGGTCAAGAGATCGAGACCATCCTGGTCAACATGGTGAAACCCCGTCTCTACTAAAAATACAAAAAATTAGCTGGGCATGGTGGCGCGTGCCTGTAATCCCAGCTACTCAGGAGGCTGAGGCAGGAGAATTGCTTGAAACCAGGAGGCGGAGGTTGCGGTGAGCCGAGATCGCGCCATTGCACTCCAGCCTGGGCAACAAGAGCGAAACTCCATCTCAAAAAACAAAAAACAAAAGTAATACAGGCACTTGGTTTAAAATTTAGTCACGCCATAGGATGTATAGGCGCTTTCTATCTGTCACACTATTCATGGCCCCAGATGACTGTCAGAGAGGGACTTGGGTGGAAATGCAGACCGGAAAAGCAAAGCAAACTAAAGCAGAGTTCTGCATTCAGAGCTGAAGTTGTTATGCTCAGAACTGCAACCAGAAGAAATATGGGACTGAATTGGTGTTCATTTAAAAATTTAAAATTATCCTACAGCAAAAACGTTACAAGACAGCAAAATGGAACGAAAAAATATTTACAATGTCCATGGAAGAAAAGACCTCAGTGTCCTCCAAATTATTATCACAAAACAAGAAATAGAGATGAACAGCAAATGTGTGTAAAGGGAATGAGCTTCATTACTAATAAATTTTTGAGAATTTTTTTTAATAACTGGTTTTTATTTCCCAGATTTACTTCTGAGATTACGAAAGATTTCCTTAAAAGCTTTTGTATCCAGTGTTGACTAGGATTTATGCTTCCTTGGAAGTGGGCTAAGGTGGAAAAATCTGTTTTGAGAAAACACCTGCCATTATGATTTCAGAATTTTAAAGGTTATTATTCTTCAACATTGCCATTTCTACTTTTTGGTGTTTGTTTTGAGGAGGTAATCAACAGAATTCCAAGGGCTAAGGTCTATGAAAAGGATTGTTTTTGCAGTATTGTTCATATAGGTAACCTAAAACCAGTGTGCATTAGCCGGATCAAATCATTATATTCTAGATCATTAGTTCCTTGAATTACTTTGCAGGCCAGAAATGGGAGAGAAGAGACGATGAAAATATTCATAATGTGGCTAACATTTGTTGGGCACCTACTCTTTGCCAGGCACTGTTTTTCAGTGCTTTACCTGTGGTCACTCATTTTATTACTAGGACTCTATGGTGTAAATCTCACCATACAAATGAGAAGACAGGAAACCTTTCCAAGATGATAGGGCTAGCACTGGGCAGAGCGCCCAGATCCAGACACAGGCAGTCAGGCTCCAGAGCTGTGCCCATCACTGCAACAGCATGCACACTACCGTCTCCAGATGGGCACAGAGAATGAGCCACATATTTGAGTAGTAAGCATGACTGCTACCCTGTAAATTTGGCAGATTAAAGAAGTGATGTGTGTGTGTAAACGAGGAGAAACAGCGTCAGTCACTGCCAGAACTAAAGCTTTTGTGGAGCAAATGACATTATTAATACAATTTAAAGTATTGGTAACCTAGGACACAACAGAGTTCTAGGGGCTAACTTATAAGAGTGCTAACGAAAGGAAGTAATTTGAAGTGCAAGGATTTCTTTTCTTGCAGCCCTTGGTGAATGGTATTAGCATTATAGAAAGCAAACAGAAAAGAACTATGTAAATTTGACTCGAGTTGCCCAGAGTCCAGAACAGCTTCCCATCTTTTACATTTTCTCAGCACTGTCCCTCTTCTGTAAACACAGTGTGTATGTGTTTGGTATTGTAGGAGATGGTGACATTCAAGGACGTTGCTGTGGTCTTCACCGAGGAGGAGCTGGGGCTGCTGGACTGTGTTCAGAGAAAGCTGTACCGAGATGTGATGCTGGAGAACTTCAGGAACCTGCTCTTAGTAGGTGAGGTTAGGTGCCTTTAGTAACAACAGCAGCCTCCTAGGGTGTGCTCAATTGTTAAAAACTCTGAAGCCCCTGAAGTTATTCTCTGAGCTTAGGTACTGAGAGTCCTAATAATCCCTGTGCAACACAGACAAGATGGTTCTCTCCAGTCTATCCTTGGAATAGTAAAAATGATCCTGTTTCATTGATTTGCCATCAAACAGTTTAATAAGTTGTTCCAGGTTAGTAAGTTTATAAAAAATAACTTTTCAGGGCACCAGTAACTGTTGATGAAGTTTAGAGGTTTTTTTTTTTTTTTAAATAATGTATTTGTAAATAACTGTAAATTCACAGAAAACTTACAAAAGTAAAAGGACAAGAACACCCATATAGATTCACTGAAATTCTACCTAGATTCACCTCTAATAACATGTTATCCTATTTGCTCTATCATTTATGTTCATGTTCTTTCTCTCTGTATACATACTATATGTGTATATGAAAATATATATGTGGTTGTAATAACTTTTTCTGAAACACTTGAAGGTAAGTTAATATACCATGGCTGTATTATATATATATATTTGGCTTTATGTATAAATATGTATATATATATATATATTTTGGCTTTATGTATAAATATATTTATACATATAAACATATCTTTTTAATAAAGCATATAATTTTTGTATAAAATACATTTTATACAAAATATATAAAATATAAATAAAATATATATAATATAAATATAAAATATTTTGTATATTATAAATAAAAGCCATATATGCATGTGTGTGTATATACATACAAATATACACCCATATAAATATGTATACATATGAATAGATGTTCAGTTTTATTCAAAATAAGAGAAATGTTCATTAAAATTATACTGAAATGCCACTTCTCACCCATGAGATTGGCAAAAATTCAAAAACTTGACACTATACATTTTCCAGCAAAGCTATGGGGAATGAAGAACTCTCATGCACTGAAAGGAAGAATGCAAAATGACACGGCCCTTAGGGAGGGGAAGTTGACAATATCTAATAGAGTAACGTATTTACCCTTCCCCAGCAATCCATGTCTAGGAATTGTCCCTAAAAATAGCCATGTGCAAAAGAGTATTAATAGTATACTAAAATTCATGTAAGAAATAAGGTAAAATAAGTAAATAGAGAGTGTGTGGGTACAGATATATATACTCTTGCACATGGCTATATATATGTATATATATAGATACATATAAATAAAATAAGCATGTACATGCTTATTTTTACAAGAATAAATACAAGAAGGAAGGTTTAATCAAAATCATGGGTAGGCGTGGTAGCTCACACCTGTAATCGCAGCACTTTGGGAGGCCAAAGTGAGAGGATTGCTTGAATCCAAGAGTTCAAGACCACCCTGGGCAACATCGGGAGACCCTGTCTCTACAAAAAAAGTATCTGGGCTTAATGATGTGCACCCATAGTCCCAGCTACTGTAGAGGCTGAGGTGGGAGAATTGCTTGAACCTGGGAGGTTGGGGCTGCAGTTTTAGTGAGCCATGATCATGCCACTGCATGCTGGCGTGGGCAGAAGAGTAAGAGCCTGTTTCAAAAAAAAAAAAGGAAATCATGAAGTTAGTTTCTTATAGTGGATGGAAGGTAACAGTGGAAGGGACGTGGGAGAAAGTCACACTTGTCTGTATATACCTTTTTGTCTAGTGACAAATTAAACGTTATCAAACATAAAGACTTTAGCTCTCCTTGCCTTCTTTACAGCACATCAGCCCTTCAAGCCAGACCTGATATCCCAGTTGGAGAGAGAAGAAAAGCTTTTGATGGTGGAGACAGAAACACCAAGAGATGGGTGTTCAGGTGAGAACTGTGATGCAGGAACACAGCAGCCAGAGAGCCCCTTCGTGAACATGAGTTAGAACACATCACTTCGCTGTTTAAACTTTCCTGTGGCTCCCCACTTCACACATACTAAGTTTAAAGTACTTAAAGTGGCCTATTCGGTCCTAAGGTATTTGTCCCCTTAAGCCCTTCTCACTTTCTATATTCACCTACTATTGTTAGTTTTTGCTCATTCAGTCTGTTTCAGAGGCACTGCCCCTCAGACCTCTCAATTATGGTTTTGTGTCACTTTCTTTGACTTGCTTTTCTCTCTAAATGAATTGAGTAATAGATACATGATATTTGCTCTCTTCATTTCACCTTGAGACAGCTAATATAGGTGTATAATAAATCTATGTAATTGAAGGGTATTCCAGAATATTGTTTCTCATATAATGGATGCCTGTTCTAACTGCTTAGCTGTCCTTGGGTATTCATAGATAGGTAGCCATTAATCCCAAAAGATAAGAATAGCCAGTAAGCTAAAGTAAGTATCAAAAATGACCAATGCCAACATTACAACTGGTCTTCCTCATGCAACATTTTCAAGTGAGATACCCTTGTATTCATATGTCCAGATTCTTTTTTTTTTTGAGATGGAGTGTTTCGCTCTTGTTACCCAGGCTGGAGTGCAATGGCGTGATCTCAGCTCACTGCAACCTCTGCCTCCTGGGTTCAGGCAATTCTCCTGCCTCAGCTTCCCGAGTAGCTGGGATTACAGGCACGCGCCACCATGCCCAGCTAATTTTTTGTATTTTCAGTAGAGACGGGGTTTCATCGTGTTGACCAGGATGGTTTCGATCTCTTGACCTTGTGATCCACCTGCCTCGGCCTCCCAAAGTGCTGGAATTACAGGCTTGAGCCACCGCGCCCAGCCAATGTCCAGCTTCTTATCCTCCCATTCTGTCCCATCCTCTCACACAAAGTCTCTTGACATAGCCACAGTCTTAAAGTAGAGTTTTCAAGTTGGACGTTTATGTGAATCCAAACATTTTGATAGTTTCTTGAGTCCTCAAAACTCTGATATCAAAAGCCACTGTCGAAACTGTGTAGCTAAGGATGCTGCTGGGTAAGAAGAAAGAATCAACAGAAAATTCAGAACAAATTAACTCACTTCTATAATTGTTTGTTTCCATCTTGATTAAGATTCAGGGTACTACATGGTACCCTAAGTAGAAGTTAAACTTTTTCTCTAAAGATCCCAGTAGTAAATACTTTAGGTTTTGCTGGCCACCGATGCTCTTTGTCACATGGTCTTTGTTTTCCTTACATCACTTCAAAAATGTAGAAAGTATTCTTGGCTCCTGGGTTGTACAAAAACAGGCCAAGGCGGTGCCAGTCTCCCTTCCTGATACTATCAGCTGGAACATAATATCACCTTTTAAAATACCTTAATTTTTTTTTACCTATACTAACATGGTCATATACCTTATATTAATGTAAAAATTTTGTATGCATTCTTATTTTTAATATACTATTTTTTCTTCTTTGCTATTACCTTGAGGAAATCCCTCCCGGTCTAAGATTATAACTCTTGTTTTTGTACTGGATGTATAATATTCTAATAAACAAACTATTTACTTCCAAGATACAAGGGGGTACAGCCACTGCGTAAATGCCACCATCCAAAAGGGAGAAATCAGCCAAAACAAAGGGGCTACAGGCCCCATGCAAGTCTGAAACCAGCAGGGCAGTCATTAAATCTCAAAGCTCCAAAATAATCTCCTTTGACTTCATGTCTCACATCCAGGCCATGCTGGTGCAAGGGGTGGGTTCCCAAGGCCTTGGGCATCTCTTCCCCTGTGGCTCTGCAGGGTATAGCCTACTTGGCTATTTTTATGGGCTGGTGTCAAGTGATTGCAGCTTTTCCAGGCACATGTTGCAAGATGTTGGTGGTTCTAGGGTCTGGGGGACAGTGGCTCTCTTCTCACAGCTCCACTAGGCAGTGCCTCAGTGGGGACTCTGGGGTTTCAAACCCCACATTTCTCCTCAGCATTGACCTAGTAGAGGGTCTTCCTGAGGGCTCCACCCCTGCAGCAGACTTCTACCTGGACATCCAGGTGTTTCTATACATCCTTTAAAATCTGGGTGGAGGTTCCCAAGCCTCATCTCTTGCCCTCTGCACACCCACAGGCCCAACACCATGTGGAAGCTGCCAAGTCTTGGGGCTTGCACCCTTTGAAACAACAGCCTGAGTCTTGCTCCCTTTTAGCCATGGATTGAACTAGAGCGGCTACAATGCAAGGTACCATGTTCTTAAGCTATACAAAACAGCGGAGCCCTGGGCCTGGCCAACAAAACTATTTTTCCCTCCTGGGCCTTAAGGCCTGTGATGGGAGGGGCTGCCATGAATGTCTGTGAAATGCCCTGGAGGCATTTTCCCCATTGTCTTGGCTGTTAACATTCTGCTCCTCTTAGGAAAATTTCTGCAGCCTTGAATTTCTCCCCAGAAAATGGGTTTTTCTTTTCTACCACATGGTCAGGCTGTAAATTTTCCAAACTTTTATGCTCTTTTTTTGTTGTTGTTAATATAAGTTCCAGTTTCAGATAATTTCTTTGCTCATGAATGAGCGTATGTTGTGAGAAGCAGCCAGACCACATCTTGAATGCTTTGCTGCTTAGAAATTTCTTCCACCAAATACCCTAAATCATCTCTCTCTAGTTCAAAGTTTCACAGATCTTTAGAGCAGGGGCATAATGCTGCCAATCTCTTTGATAAAGCATAGCATCAATATTGGGAAAATGTATAAATACATTTACAATCCTAAAGATATCTAAATATATCACCAGTTTCATTTCCCAGTAACTTTCTCATCTTCATCTGATACTGCCTCAGCCTAGACTTCACTGTCCATATCATTATCAGCATTTTGGTCAAAACCATTTACAATTCTCTAGGAGGTTCCAAACTTTCCCTCATCATTATATCTTTTTCTGAGCTCTCCAAATTATTCCAACCTCTGCCCATTACCCATTTCCAAACACTTCCACATTTTCAGGTATCTTTATAACAATGCCCCACCTTTCCGGTACCAATTTTCTTTATTCATATGTTCTCCCATTGTTATAAAGAACTACCTGAAACTGGGTAATTCATAAAGAAAAGAGGTTTAATTGACTCACAGTTCCATAGGCTGTACAGGAAGCATGGCTGGGGAGGTCTCAGGAAAGTTAGAATTATGGTGGAAGGTGAAGAGGAAGGAGGCATATTTTACATGGCAGAGAAAGAGGAAGAGAAACAGAGTAGGGAAGTGCTACACACTTTCATACGACCAGAGCTCATGAGACTCTATCATGAGACAGCACTGGGGGATGGTGCTAAACCATTAGAAAGCACCTTCCTGATCCAATCACTTCCCACGAGGCCTCAATGCCAACATTGGGAATTATAATTCAACATGAGATTTGGGTGGGGACACAGAGCCAAACCATATTATTGGTTAAGAGAGGAGTCAGCAAAGCAGCTTAAATATTTGTGATCAAAACATTATCACCACTATACCTTGTAGTGTCCACAAAAATGCCTTAGTTTCTTTTTCTGAAAGCAAAGTGAGAATGGAAGGTGATCTCTGCCTGGGTTACCTGAGCTGATGTTCTCACGTAGCTTTTATTAATGGAGAAAAAAAAATTAAGATTTTTTTTTTTCTGAGTTCATTATAGCTAACTATTAAATTCAAAGAATTATTCATTTTCATAACAAATATAGCACCTTTGTTATTGAATTGATTGATTTAGGATACTTGAATGATTGGCTTTCTCAACCTCTAAGTGCTAAAGCAGGATTGCTATGAAGAAGTAATAAATTCTCAATCTTCTTACCTCAAGTGACATCTTCAGCATCTTTTGTCATGCTTTTTTTCTCCATCAAATAAAGTTCATTTATAAACTTAACACAATTTCTTATCACACTCTACCATTGATACTGAAATAGAACTTAAATGTTGATATATGAAAATGAAATAACAAGGTGTTTCATTCTATACCATTCACTAAAGGAAATTAATGTTATTACATGTGTGGTCTTTTTTAGAAGAGTTTGAAACAAAATGAAGTGACCTTTTTTTTCTTCCTCTGTGTCCTTAACATTGCAAAACCCACTGGTCAGGGAGAAACTTTAATCTTTTATATATTTGAGAGATTTTTATATCATGAATTATGTACTAATTTGCATTGAAACAGTTGCTTGTAAGAAATTTGGTTTTGACTAACAAGCTGCTTTTATGTTCTCAAGCCACATCAGTCCCAAAAGACAGGACATATGAAACTGTATCTTTATCGATGTATATTGAGTGTTTTTTTTACTAGTAAAACCAAACTACAAGCATTATAATTAACCGTTGCTGGAAGCCCAAACTTCTCACATATAAGCTATATTCTTTATCTGCCTCTATTCATATATCCCTTCATTTCATCATTGTATGATAAAATAGCATTATAACTGAAAGCTTCACTTTTGAGAAGGCAAAGACATCACTAAATGTGCTTTTAAAGTACCAAGATGCATACCTATGGTTATACCTTCAAGTGTTATCCCACAGTCAGTGTGCTGCCTCAGAGCCTAGTGACACAGAGTCATCAGTATGACCTTTTCTTTTTTCCCATTTTAAAAGTTAGGATAGGGCCGGGCACGGTGGCTCATGCCTGTAATCCCAGCACTTTGGGAGGCCGAGGCTGGTGGATCACGAGGTCAAGAGATTGCGACCATCCTGGTCAACATGGTGAAATCCCGTCTCTACTAAAAATACAAAAAATTAACCGGGTATGGTGGCGCATGCCTACAATCCCAGCTACTCGGGAGGCTGAAGCAGGAGAATTGCCTGAACCCAGGAGGTGGAGGTTGCGGTGAGCCGAGATCGCGCCATTGCACTCCAGCCTGGGTAACAAGAGCGAAACTCCGTCTCAAAAAAAAAAAAAAAAAAAAAGTTAGGATAGGGTAGGGCTTACAGATAAGATTTTGTTCAGGAAAAATGACACCATTTTGGGTTTTTTTGAGACAGAGTCTTGCCATGTTGCCCAGGCTGGAGTGCAGTGGCTGTTTATAAGTGCGATAATATTAATAGCTCACTGCAGCCTAAGACTCCTGGGCTCAAGCATTCCTGCTGCCTCAGCTTTCTGAGTAGCTAGTATACAGGATTGCATCACCATGCCTGGCTCAAAGTTACACCATTTAAAAAGTTACTTTAAAAATGAGAAAGACTAAATTCACAGGCCCTGCCTATGGGTCTTTTTGATCTTACATTTTTATTTCATCCACAGTAGAGTCTTGTGATCTTTGCTTTTCTTATCAGCAGTACCACTATGAATTGTCACCCTCCTCTCATATAGTTTTCCAGCAAAGTTTCCACCATCACCAGTTCCTTGCCCATTAAAAAAAGCTACATTACATGCCTTTTTAGTTCTGTGAGTGAGAGCAGCTCAAACTCTGATTTATTCATCAGTGTTTATCGAGCAACTGCTGTTCGCTTAGCAGTGAGAGGAATGCAGTGCACAAAACACCGTTTGTCTTCATGGATAATACATTCCAGTATGGAGAGGCAGGCAAATGCAAGGAAATAAGGCAGAATGATGTTTGAGGGTAATATTTATGAAAAAATATTCCTTTTACTGCTTTTTTTCTGGATATTAGAGACTTAATCTACTTCCAGATGTTAGCAGAGTGCATGTTGTTAGCCTGTTTAACCAGTGGTCCTTAGTCTGCTTATAACCTGAGCTTTAATGACTAGGTAACAGGCTATTTCTACCCAAATATCCTGACTTCAGCCCTTTCAGGTGCCTCAAATTTCCTAAATATGAACATAATTTTCCAGTAAAATGGCACAAACAAAAGTCAGTATTCATTGACTTTTGTTCCAGACTGATGAGCACCTCAGAGGACACTACAGGTGCCGTAATGTCTTTCTGATTTTTCTTAGTTGAATTCTCTCACAGTCTTTCACATTTTGACCTGCGTCATGGCTGTTGATAATTGTAAAATATTTTTTGAAAAGAGTTAAAATTTGTAATGGTTTACAGAGACTTAGAAGAGCTTATTACGGCCGGGCACGGTGGCTCAAGCCTGTAATCCCAGCACTTTGGGAGGCTGAGGCGGGTGGATCACGAGGTCAAGAGATCGAGACCATCCTGGTCAACATGGTGAAACCCTGTCTCTACTAAAAATACAAAAAATTAACTGGGCATGGATTACAGGCGCATGCCTGTAATCCCAGCTACTCAGGAGGCTGAGGCAGGAGAATTGCCTGAACCCAGGGGGCGGAGGTTGCGGTGAGCCAAGATCGCGCCATTGCACTCCAGCCTGGGTAACAAGAGCGAAACTCCGTCTCAAAGAAAAAAAAAAAGAAGAAGAGCTTATGATTCTCATGAGGATAAACAGCTCATTTGTGACAGGATGCGTGATGCCTCAAGCCTACAGTAAAGGTCTGAGTTTACTCTTCGGCATGTCCTTTAACGCAGCACCCTTTCAGATGAACAACATTATCATGCTCATGTGCCACACAAAAAAGAAAAAACAAATTAGGACAAAAGGCATTTGTGCATTTGCAACTGTATTTTTTTGATTTAAGAACGTCCTTTTTTCCCTTTCAGATCTCCAGGAAACCCATGATAAACCCATAATAACATGTTTATGGTTGTTTTGTTTTGTTTTTCGAGACAGCTGTCATTCTGTCACCCAGGCTGGAGTGCAGTGGCGTGATCTCGGCTCACTGCAGCCTCTGCCTCATGGGTTCAAGTGATTCTCCTGCCTCAGCCTCCCCAGTAGCTGGGATTACAGGTGCCTGCCACCATGCCTGGCTAATTTTTGTATTTTTAGTAGAATTGGGATTTCACCATTTTGGCCAGGCTGGTCTCACACTCCTGACTTCAGGTGATCCACCCGACTTGGCCTCCCGAAGTGCTGGGATTACAGGCATGAGCCACTGTGCCTGGCCATGTGTATGGTTATACTAGGCCTTTTGAACACAGCCGTCATGTTAAGGTTGTGCTGCAAAGTCCTGATTTTGAGGCATACGGATATCCTGAATCATGCAGATGCTACTTATATGTAGTTTGAGTATGCCTTATCCAAAATGCTTGGGACCAGAAGGGTTTTGTATTTCAAATATTGTTAGATTTTGGAATTTTGCATTATACTTACCAGTTGAGCATCCCTAATCAGAGATCTGAAATGCTCCAATGTGCATTTCCTTTGAACATCGTGTCGAGCATTCAAAACGTTTTGGATTCTGGAGCATTTCAGGTTTCAGATTTTTGGATTGAGAATACTCAACCTGTACCTGGTATAGCCAAAGAAGAGGCATTTTCTAAGTATTCTTAGGAATAGTGACATGAATTTTCCTCTGATTCATTCAAGTTTCATGTTACGACCTAAGCTGTAAAAATCTTCAAATCTCTTGAATAAAACATTCAATTGTGCGCATCTGAATTCTCCTTATCTTTACAGGAAGGAAGAATCAACAAATGATGGAGACTATTCAGGAAGTAAGAGTAAGCTACCTTCCCCCCAGAGAGCTTTCCTCCGGTCAGACCTGGCAACAAAGTGCAGGTGGGTTAATCAGGTGTCAAGATTTCCTGAAAGTTTTTCAAGGGAAGAATTATCAGTTGCAAGAACAAGGTGATTCCCTCTGCAAGGTTTGGGCAGGAATACCAGTTCAGATTTCTGAAGATGAGAACTATATGTTGACTCATATAGGGAATGGCTCCAATTATATAAAAAGTCAAGAGTATCCTTCTTGGAGGGCACAGCATTCTTGGAGGAAAATGAAAGAGTCACATAATTATCACTGTAGATGTCAGCAAATTTCTGTGAAAAATAATTTCTGTAAGTGTGACAGCATCAGCTGGATCCCACATCACAGTGATAAACTGGAAGTGCACAGAAAAGAAACCTACAGCTGCCACGACTGTGGAGAAGACATCATGACGGCATCGTTGCTTCAGCAGGATTCAATTCAAACAGGGGAGAAGCCCTGGCCACGTACTGGGTATAGAAAAGGCTTCAGTAACGACTCCAGCTCTGAGGTTCATCAGCAGTTCCAGTTGGAAGGGAGGTCCTATACGTGCAATTCATGTGGAAAGGGCTGTAGTTACAGTTCCCTTCTTCATATTCATCAAAATATGCAGAGAGAAGACGATGTTATTGAGAATTCACATCTGAAATCCTATCAGAGAGTGCACACAGAGGAGAAATCATGCAAATGTGGTGAATATGGAGAGAACTTCAATCACTGTTCCCTTCTTAACACTTACGAACTTATCCACACAGGTGAGATGTCCTACAGGCACAACATTTATGAGAAAGCCTTCAGTCATAGCTTCAACCTTAATGGTATTTTTAGGGTCCAAACTAGGGATGAACCCCATGAATATGAGGAAAATGAGAATGTCTTTAGTCAGAGTTCATGTCTTCAAGTCCATCAAAAGATCCACACTGAAGAGAAACTCTGCAGAGATGTAGAGTATGGAAAGAGTTTCATTTGTAGTCCCAATCTTGACGTTCAGCACACGGTACACATGGAAGAGAATCCCTGTCATTCTGAGGAACGTGGTAATGGCTTCAGTCTGACCTCACACTTTCAAGACCTTCAGGTAGTCCACACTGAGGAACAACCATATAAACGCTATGTGTGTGGTAACAGCTTCGGCCATAATGTGTATTTTCAAGGTCATCAGAAAATTCACATAGGAGAGAAGCCGCATAAGGAGTGTGGGAATGGCTTCAGCTGGAGCTCAAAACTTAAAGATCATCTAAGAGTCCACAGTGGACAGAAGCCATACAAATGCAGTGCTTGCGGCAAAGGTTTCAATCATAGATCAGTTCTGAATGTTCATCAGAGAGTCCACACTGGAGAGAAACCTTATAAATGTGAGGAATGTGATAAGGGATTCAGCCGGAGTTCATATCTTCAAGCCCATCAGAGAGTCCACACTGGAGAAAAACCTTATAAATGTGAGGAATGTGGGAAGGGCTTCAGTCGAAATTCATACCTTCAAGGCCATCAGAGAGTTCACACTGGAGAAAAACCATACAAGTGTGAGGAGTGCGGGAAGGGCTTCAGTCGGAGTTCACACCTTCAAGGCCATCAGAGAGTCCACACTGGAGAAAAACCATTCAAGTGTGAGGAGTGCGGGAAGGGGTTTAGTTGGAGTTTTAATCTTCAAATTCATCAGAGGGTTCACACAGGAGAAAAACCGTATAAATGTGGAGAATGTGGTAAAGGTTTCAGTAAGGCCTCAACTCTTTTGGCCCATCAGAGAGTCCATACGGGAGAAAAGCCATACCAATGTGATGAGTGTGGTAAGAGTTTCAGTCAGAGATCATACCTTCAGAGTCATCAGAGTGTCCATTCTGGAGAGAGACCGTATATATGTGAGGTGTGCGGAAAGGGCTTCAGCCAAAGGGCATATCTTCAAGGTCATCAGAGAGTGCACACTAGAGTGAAACCGTATAAGTGTGAGATATGTGGGAAGGGCTTTAGTCAGAGTTCCCGCCTTGAAGCACATCGGAGGGTTCACACGGGAGGGAAACCATACAAATGTGAGGTGTGTACAAAGGGTTTCAGTGACAGTTCACGCCTTCAAGCACACCAAAGGGTTCATGCAGAAGGGAGACCCTATAAATGTGAGCAGTGCGGTAAGGGTTTCAGTGGGTATTCAAGTCTTCAAGCACATCACAGAGTCCACACTGGGGAGAAACCATACAAATGTGAGGTATGTGGAAAAGGGTTCAGTCAGAGATCAAATCTTCAGGCTCATCAGAGAGTCCACACAGGAGAGAAACCATACAAATGTGATGCGTGTGGTAAGGGTTTCCGTTGGAGCTCAGGTCTTCTAATTCATCAAAGAGTCCATAGTAGTGATAAATTCTATAAAAGCGAAGACTATGGGAAGGACTACCCTTCATCAGAGAATCTACACAGAAATGAAGATTGTTTTGTTTTGAAGTCTTCAAATGGGAGCTGAAATTTTCCAGTCACTAGAGTTCTTTCAGTAGAAAAAGAATTTTTTAAAATTAAAATGTACTGTTTCTGCCCAATTTCAACATTCATAATGGCCAGGAGACCACAGAACAGAGACATTTAATGAGAGGGGTTTCATGAGGGATTTTGTTAGAACTTTAGCATCAGTCATTGCACAGGAGGTAAGGCTTATAAAACGTGAGTATGGTCAGAAATTTAATAAAAGTACAGTGAAGAACATGCCTAAATCCATGTTCTCTAGAATGTAAGCTTGGTGAGAGAAGGGACTTTGTTCATTTCTAGTCTACAAAACTATGACATTTCATAACTCAACGAAGGTGTTTAGTACTTTTTGCTAAATGAGTAAAAGTATGTAAAGGTACAATGTTTGAAATTTTTTAAGCTCATTTTCTAAAACTTCACTTAAAATGTATTTGGAAGAGGAATCCTACAAGTAATCTTAATGAAAGCATTTCAGGTAAATATTATTTGAAATGTAGAACATTAAGCATTACTATGATCTGAAATAACATTAATTTGGTTGTAACCCTATTGGGGTTGGTTCCCATCCTTTGTTCCATGTTGAGCAGAGATGCATTTCTTAACATTCGGTCTCTGTACATTATACCATCCATCGAAGTTTAGCTTTGTGCGTAGGTGTATGTCCACATGTGTGCACTTTAAGTATCAGTACAAACTGATAAGCGATGTTTCTGGTTAATGTTGCAAAATGGAACACTGTATTTTACCTAATTGATTTTCTACTCCTGCCCTGTAATTTAAGGCAGAGTTTTACTATAATATTCGCAAAGTATCCAAAATGGTTACTGATGACAAATACTTTTTAATAAACGTCAAAGTCACAATACTTGTTTTATTCTTCATATTTCTCTCAAAGGCCATTTGATCTGACTGATTTCTAAATGTTGTAGCCTTTGTCCAATCCACACCTCCTTAAGCAGGGTCAAGTTTGAAGCATTTTGTCAAGTTTTCAATTCCCATACTTCTCCCACTCACACACAAAAAAGGGGAAAATCTTGAATTTTTCTAAGCATTTTTATCAATGTATTGACCAGTAGGGTAGGATTGCCATTTACTTGTTAGTGTCTGTCTTCAAGAATGATGCATTTTGTTGGTGAAAGTGAAAAATACAAGCTTGTCCAATACATGTCAAAATATGTATCAAGTCCCTGATATATATTGAAATGTAAAATGTGCATACCCATCTGGAAATCATAGAATAGTAATTTATAATTAAGCAATTTTACCAGTAAGGAAGGATTTGACAATAACAGTAATATTTTAAGCTGGAACTAAAGGTCCATCAATCTGAATTTGGGTAAGTTTCTATATGTTCTATTCTATGGCTCTACAGAAAGTATAATTTAGCTCTAAAATGACAAGAATGGATCATGCATCTTGTTTAGTAAAAATGTGGATTGCAGCCGGACACAGTGGCTCACGCCTGTAATCCTAGCACTTTGGGAGGCCGAGGCAGGCGGATCACGAGGTCAGAAGTTTGAGACTAACATCACCAACGTGGCAAAACCCCGTCTCTACTAAAAACGCAAAAATTAGCCAGGCGTGGTGGCACATGCCTGTAATCCCAGCTACTCCGGAGGCTGAGGCTGGAGAATTGCTTGACCCCAGGAGATGGAGGTTGCAGTGAGCCAAGATTGTGCCACTGCACTCCAACCTGGGAGACAGAGCGAGACTCCATCTCAAAAAATATATAATGGATTGTATGTTCACAATAGCCAGCTAATTTAAGCCTGTGTACATGTATGTTCAAATACATGCTTAGCTATAATGTGTGAAAGATTACTCATTATGCATACAGTAGCTTTCTCTGGAAAGCAAAATTTTGGCTTAGTTTTTTGTGCTTTATTTAAAAATATTTATAATGGACATTTACCAATTTATACCAAAGCGGTGAACAGCTACGGATATATTATCCCTTATACTTAAGAACTCACATTATGATTGCTTATGATAGGATTGCTTGATTTCATTGTATGGTATTATGACCAACTGTAAAGGGTAAGTCCCTTGAAGTTAAGTTTTAAAATTTTCTGGATTTTTGCGACTACAGATAAATCAGGTGTCCAGTAACTTTGTATTTCTGTGAAGTGCGATCCAGTTTTATAAATTGATGCTCCCAGCTTTTCCCTCAGATCCCCTGGTGGATCAATGTGGTGACCAAAGAACTGGTGTAACTTGGCTTTCAAGGTGCTGATGAAGTTTCACAGTCGGCGGAAACCCAGGGCTTCCAAAGCATGTCCTTGATATCATCACTCACAGGGGAGGGCTCCTGGTGGTTTTATCAGTTGGAATGCTTTTAGTTCTAAGCAACAGAAAATGTATAGTTGCCTAAACCAAAACCATTTATTAGTTCATATAAATGAAAAGATACAGATAGTATAAGGCTAGGATCTGGGTCAGGTGGTGGGATTTTATATTGCTTTCCTTTCATTCTTTCACCTCTCTTTTTGTTGTGAATTCTTGTCTTCACGTTGTTCACAATATAGCAGCATCACCTGCTTTCTTGTTCACAGCTGAATGAAGAGATATTCTGTATCATTTTAGTCCCGTGTGGTTCTGGCTCCCCACAATGCATAGAATCTCTGACACTCCAATTCTCACTAGCAACTGAAACCAACCAAGACAACAAAGGACACCGCTGGTCCCCTAGCCTACTCCTAGTGAGAAGCAACAGCAGGCTACCCCAAGAAAAGGGAACATAGAGAATTCTTCTGTGGCCCCAGTGCATAGGGACAGCCAAAAGCTGAGGACAGGGACAGCCAAAAGCTGAGGACAGGGCAGCAAGGAACATTGAGAAAACTTTAGCACTCTCATTTCCATCCTAAACACAAGGTAACACTAGAGAAATTTGAAGCCAGTGGTACAACTAAGATAAATACAACAACAAAATCCAATTCCAGTTTAATTCCTGACCAGATTAATTCAGCACTCCACCCTGACATCCTAGCAGAGTATGTGTGCCTAGTTTTAGGCCAAAAATAATGTTTTCTTCAGTCTCTGAAGAAAGATTATGTTATATGTTATCTGGCATTTTATTTTAAAAATACAAGATTAAAAGTTGAGAACAATCTTCTGCCAATAGATAGCAGGCCAATCAATAAAACCACACTTATAGATAACCATAGTTTGGAACTGTCAGGGAATTTTACATAACTGATTGGTGTGCTAAGGACTCCAGTGAAAAGGGCAGATAATATTCATGAGCAGATCGCGATTGCAGTAAAATCTAATCGTCCAATGAGAAGTGCTGGGGAAAGAAAATTTATGCTACTACTTTTACTTTTATCAGAAAGCTCTTGAAGACTTGTGAGTAGGCTCAACATAGCTGAGAAAAGTATCAGAGAACTTGAGTATAGGTCAATAGAAATCACCCAAACTAGAACACAAAAAGTGTGAAGAAAGCAATACAAATCAGACCACATTGTAGGCTCTAATATTTGCATACTTGGAAACCCGGGGGCAGGGGGACAGAATGGGAAGAAAAGATACTTAAAGAGGTAATGGCTGAGAATTTTCCAAAAATAATAAGACCGCACTGACATTCAAGAACCTCGGAATGCCAAAGCAGTATTTTTAAGAAGAGAACAAAATTAGATGCATTATTGCCAAATAGCTAAAAATGGACGATGCAAAGAAAATATTAATGGCAGGCAGAGGAAAGGGACACATTACATTTAAGAAGCATAGTGTGAAAAACATCAGATTTATCATAATCACAAACCCTGCAAGCAGAAGACAATGGAGTTACATCTTTAATATCTAGAAACCAAAAACAAAGATCAATAAGAAATTCTAAGCCCAATGGAAAAAAATCTTTCAGAAGGTATGCAAAATAAAGATATCTTCAGATGAACAGGGCTGAGAGAATTCACTGTTAGCAGCCCTACACTGTATAAGATATTTAGCATACCAGAAATAGACTTGGATCTACCAAAAGGCCCAACTGTGAAAATGGTTATTGCAATCACTTTAAGTATAAAGTATTTCTTACTTTTATTACTCCAAAATGTAATTCAGTAATGCAAAATTAGGAATGAGGTTTTATGAATTTAGAGGACATATAAAAACTAGATGTTTTGTAAAAACACTGCAAAACAGAGAAGACAAATTAGAAATATGCTAGCAGAAATTAGAAGTATATGGTTGTACTCTGTACATGAATTAGCATAATATGATTTGAAGATACACTGTGAAAAAATATAGGTTTATATTTTAAGCCCTAGAGTAACCGTTTAGGAATTTTTTAAAGTGGTACAACTCATAAGCCAGTAGTAGAGATTAAATTCTGTTTCCAAAAATAGCAACATAGAAGCAAGCTGGCTTCAATCCCTTCAACAGAAAACTAAAGGCAAATATACAGCACCAATATTGTCACCAGCAATATCCCAGAACTCAAATATGAGGAGGAGACAGTTCCTGAAAACACAAATAAGTGAAAAAACTGAGCAGATGGTAAGAGAATTGGACTTTCCTAGCAACGGTGCCCCTCCCTCTAATCTGCCTGGCACCAAGACTGTGGAAGAATTTCCCTGGGTCCCAGTTTCTACACTGGAAAAAGTGAATCAAGATGGACAACCAGCCTCACTATCTTGGGTTCCCCTGACAGGAGACTTGTCTTTGAGTCAACCCACAGGAAGCATCAGTAGTAATCGAATGTCCCTGAGGACAGCCAGAGATGAAGCAGGGAGGTGGAAACACTGTCCCAAGTCATGGAAACTCTACTCTGCAACTCAGCCAAAGGAGACACCAATCAGAGTGGGTTCAAGATATTTCTCTGACTTAATATTTGTATTGCCTTTTTGTGGGTTCTTAGTATATTAGAATGAATAGCACATTAAACAAAACACTGTCAAGAGCCCTTAGGTACCTCGCGGAATCATGGAGGGAAAGGAGTCAAACACTTTACTCCCTTCTCTCCTCCCCACCAATCCCTAAATATACACAACTTGGACACGAAGGACTAAAACTTCATTCCTCCTTCCCTCCCCTCTCACAGATACGGAAGGGGGACATGGAAGTGCTGAGGAGGAGAAGGGTGTGGTCCCTCACTAGAGCTCCCAGGCCTGTGGTCTGGGACCTAGTCAGGACAGGTATTCCTGCCTCGGGGCCCAAATGTTGCATTTCCCAGGACCACCCTGGACCACACGCCCCCATCCAGTACCTATAAAACCCCTGAAACCTTAGCAGGCAGAGACACAAGCTGCTGGATGTTGAGAGAAATGCATTGGCGGACACACAAACAGCTGGATGTTCAGAGGCCGTGAAGGGGAGCAGGTCAGCAGAAGAGCACACTGAAGAACCCGGCAGGCCAGCAGACCATCAACAGGTGGAACAATGCAGAGTTTGGCCTGGGTAGTTGGAGGAGAGCGCAGGCCACTGAGTGGCTGATTCCAGGGGAAAACCATCTCCCTTCTGGCTCCCCTATCTGCTGAGAGCTACTTCCATTCAATAAAACCTTGCATTCATTCTCCAAGCCCATGTGTGATCCGATTCTTCCGGTACACCCAAGCAAGAAACCCTGGGATACAGAAAAGCCCTCTGTGCTTGCGGTAGGGCAGGGGGTCTAATTGAGCTAACACAAGCTCCTTACAGATGGCTAAACTAAAAGAGCACCTCGTAACACATGCCTCCTGGGGCTTCAGGAGCTGTAAACATTAACCCCTAGACACTGCCGCCAGATTGGAATCCTACAACCTGCCCGTGTGCATGCTCCCCCTAGAGATTGGAGCAGCTGGGCACCAAAGAAGCAAGCCACAATCCCATCACATGCCCTGCGAGGGGAACAAGGGACCTCTTCCTGTTTCATCACAATTTACTTTCTGCACTAACATGATTGTTCAGCTGTCTTCGTTAGCAGGCCTTTATTCCAGGAGATTCCTGCCCAAGCAAACTTTAATTGTTCATTACGGGAACTTCCACAGCGACCCATCAAATTTTCAATCTCTTCCAAAGAAAGTATCAACAGATTGCACCTTAAAATTCTTTGCTTCAAAAATCCTTGCTGTATCCACGAATCCTGGACTGTAGTATCATGATCATTACACAATCCTAATATAATTCCTTGCATTGAAAGACCCGCCTTAAACATCCAATTCTCAATCAGTTCCAACCTTGCCTTTGTGAAGTGTTGCGTCCAACACTTTGCTCTGTGAAGGTGCCAACGCTCTGTCAAGGTGCCAACGAGGTGCCAATGCCCTGTTCTCCGTTACTGCAATCAATAAATTCTGTTTTGTCTTATCAACAGGTTGAGTTGATGATATTTGGGGAGCTGGCATTTGACACAAGTTTGAAATCCAGTGTTCCTTAACGTTCGGCGTCCATCGGAGCTCAGCCTAAGTCACTTTTATGCTTCCCATTTTTAGCCTACCCTTTGCTTCTGCTAAAAATTTGGTTTCTAGCTTATTTTCATAATACAAACCGCACTTTTATTTTTTATATGGCCTCACTTCTAAAATTTTATAATTATTTTTTCATGAGCTTTTAAAAAATGAATAAAATAAAAAGGAAATCTGACAGCAGCGCCAGCGAAGTGGCTCAAACCAAACTCAGCTGGTGGGAAGTGTTGCCCTTGGAGCATTATGGGAACTGTAGTCCATGAGTGAGAGAACTCTGAGACGCTTCCGCTTAGGAATTCTGGGAAGTGGAGTCCACGAACTATGTGCAGTCGGAGGAACTTCCGCTCCAGGAAGGCGAGGTCGGTTCGGAGATTGCTCCCGGGGAGGTGAGTCAGCCCCGGGTCTCCAAGACTTCTCCGAGCCCTCTTTGCCTGGACGTGGGGCCAGCGATGAACCGGTCCTTGGCTTGGACCAGAGAAGCCGCGTCCATCAGTAGAGGACGGGGTTGGGAGGTGGTGGGAGTTTGCGTCCCCTCGGCGGAACCTCCTGCGTTGGGGGCGGGCTCGCGTCGTGCTTCGAGGTTGAGGGTCTTCAGCCCTCGCTGCTGCCCCAGCCCTCCTCACACACATACCGGCCAGCCCTGTCTGCTCCTCGCAGTAAAATGTTGGGCAAGTTACTTAATCTCTGCTTGTCTCAGTTTCCTCGTGCTTGTAAAGGGTCAGTACGTTCCCAGTGATGTTTTTGTGAGAATTAAGTGAGATTTTATAGAAATAAGCTTAAAAACAGTGCATAGGAAAATGTTGGATGCCACCGTTAATTCTGTTATAATACTAGAAAAGATATCTGTTGTTTGAAAACTCCTCTGCCTGGGATGGGGTCGGAGATCCAGTTACGGACCCGCTGTCCCTTTTCTAATCCTTGCCTGATGCGGGGCCGTTCCGGGATTCTTGGACTCTTTCTAGCCTCTTGTTTAGGAGACAGGGTATTAGTTTCAGCCGGAGCCTGGGGAATGTACTGTGTTTTATCGCAGAGAAGCGGCCGTCATTACAGATTTGCAGAGGTCCAGAGATGTCCTGAGGTCCTAATAACTGTTCAGTATTATGTAGTTATTACCAGTAATGCCGTGTGGTTAACTTAAGTGCAGCATCATTTCTTAGAGAGTTGTAGGTTTTTATTAGTCATTGCTTTCATGCGTATGGGAAAAGAGACTTTCTTGAAGCTCCTCCAGCTTAGTAACATTTGCAAGTAATTACATCTATTGGGGGAAAAAATCTGTGGCAGTTTAACTATCATTACCAACGGAACTAATTATATGTTAGCCAGTCACAGTCAGACTTTTCTGAGGGTAATGGTAACTCACAGGACAGAGCAATTATCTTTGAGTTCTGGGTTTCTTAAAAGATTCATTTTCTAGAAAGGATACTCAACAAGGATAGTTTTGTGAAGCATAATAGCACTTGCTTGTCAGAAGCTGCAGGAAAGAGAGAATACAGGCATTATTATTGTCCTCATATACAGGCACAGAGAGATTAGTAAGTCGCTAAGGTTTATACTGCTGATCAGTAGAAAATAAGTAGAAATGCCGAAATTTGAAGCCAGGCATTTTGGCTCTGTTACGTTACCCTGCCTGCCTGTGTCTCACTTCCTTAGACACCAGGGTTCAGAAGGAGTACACAGGGAGCTGCATTTGATTGAGGTCTGTTAATCTGAAATGCTCATGAACAAAAGCAGCTGCTTGAGAGGGCCCAGAGGTAGCTGGGCTCCAGCTCCTGTTCTCACTAAGCTGTGTGCAGCTGTGTCTGCCTAGAGAAAGGGGGACCTTTCTCCAAAGTGTCACATCAAGTGCCATGTTGACTAATGGCATCCCTAACCTATCTCATGATGCCTTTCCCTCCCCCAGGTTTGCTTCCCCAGAACTCTGCCTTTTCCCAAAAGGAAGAGGGGGGAAATGACCAAGTTCCAGGTAAGTTTGGCTTGCCTTTCTGTTTCTTAAAATGACATTAATAATTTAATGTCTCGTTTCACAAAGATTGGACACATTTTTTCCGTTTAGGAAAAGTAAAAGAGAACCAAAGGCACTTGAAAGATTGTTATATGCCAGGCTCTTGCCTTTTATTTCCAAATAATAGTGTAAAAATTAACATATATATACATATATGTTTAGAGACGCAGTCTCGCTCTGTTTCTCAGGCTGGAGTGCAGTGGCGTACTGCAGCCTGGGCCTCCTGGGCTCAAGAGATCCTCCCACCTTAGCCTCTTGAGTAGCTGGGACCACAGGCATGCACCACCACAACCGGCTAATTATTTTTACTAGAGACAGGGTGTTCTATGTTGCACAGACTGGTCTTGAACTGCTGGGCTCAAGCGATCCTCCTGCCTGGGCCTAACAGATATGTTCTTTAAATGGAAAACAACTCTTCGTGTTTACAAATCATTTTCCACATTCCTTTTCACTTGTATTCACAAATGTGTAAAATCATACTTTAGGTACAATTTTGAATTTTTTAAATTTAATTTTGTATCACCTAGGCTTTAAGTGATCTTGTCATTTTTCCATAGTTGACGTGATTTTATTTTTCCTCATTCTCCGTGTTTACATAGTCTATGAATTTTGCCATTTTAAGGACATTGATGATAGCAGTTTGTCCCCATATAACTTCTCTTCCCAAATAAGAATTCTGAGAATTCTGGTTTTTTTTTTTTTGTTTGTCAAGTTTAGACTCATTTTCTCATACACAGCACCTCATTTTATGGAGAAAATAAAGTTTAGCTTGGTGCAATTGCATCTGATACTAAACTCGGAAAAGAATTTTAGTTTCAAACAAGAGCCAGATTTCTTTAAGTAAAACCTCATATTATAGTTAAGTATCTGTTTTATTCATTAACATGTTATTATATTTTAAAGAAGTGCATATTTAGTTTAAAAGCCTTATAGTACTAGGAGATTCACCAGGAATTTGCTCCATGGAATGGCTTTTTGAGGATGTAGATGGCCTTGCCTGTATTTTAAATATAAGAGACAGGTGTGCACCTTCAGACATTTAATGACGTTCACTCAGTGCCCAGCTGACACTAACACTTCCAGTGCCTAAGCCATAAGTTTCAGGTGTTCCATTTGGGTGATAAAGAGACTCAGCACCAGGTGCAGAGGCTCACCTGTCATCCCAGCACTTTGGGGCTGAGGTGGGTGGATCACTTGAGGTCAGGAGTTTGAGAGTAGCCTGGCTAACATGGTGAAACCCTGTCTCTACTAAAAATACGAACATTAGCTGGGTGTGGTCACACATACCTATAATCCCAGCTACTCGTGTAGGTGAGGCAGGAAAATTGCTTGAACCTGGAAGCGGAAGTTGCAGTGAGCCAAGATTATACCACTGCAGTGCAGCCTGGGCAACAGAGTGAGACTGTGTCAAAGAAAAAACGAGACTATTTCGGGACCTGAGGCTATGCTACATGTGTGTGTGTCCCTGGCATGTCCTGGTGAATGAAGGGCTCCAGAAATAACATTGTTCTTCACCGGATTCCCTTTGTCAGTGCATGGCTCTTCGCCAGATGTGTCATCAAGTTATTTACTACATAGATGTTCGGAAGTCCAGCCGAAGCAAATGCAGGGATGAGCAGTGTCTTCAGATTTAAAAATGTTCATTTCCATACAGAAAAACACCGTATGCAAACTTTATGAGCCAAATAGGAAAGAGGTTGGAGTTTGTATATTCTAGAAAAAGACTTAATATTCTTAACAGTAATATTACTGATACTCAAAAGATTCCAGTAGGATTAAGCAAAGGGAATATGTGAAGAGAAATAATATCAGAAGATCGTCTTTTAAAAAAGTTTAAATAAATGGACTTTTTTTTAAAGAGTTGTTTGTATCACTTACCAAATTAATCAAGATTTTTAAAACATAACATAACGTCCAGTTTGCGCCAGAGTATGGAGAATTGGGAATACTTATAATCTCTTACAGGAAGAACTAATTGAGAAAATTACCATTATCAGTGATGCGATGTCAGCTCACTGTAACCTCCATCTCCCAGGTTCAAGCGATTCTCCTGTCTCAGCCCCCGAGTAGCTGGGATTACAGATGTATGCCACCATGCCTGACTTTTGTATTTTTAGTAGAGACAGGATTTCACCATGTTGGTCAGTCTGGTCTCAAACTCCTGACCTCAGGTGATCTGCCCACCTCAACCCATCAAAGTGCTAGGATTACAGGAGTGAGCTACCGTGCCCGGCTGGAACTTATCTTAAGGAAATAATCATATGAGCTGGCAGATATCTGTGTAAAAATGTTTTTGGTGGCATTGTTTGTCATTTTAAAAGTTAAAATGATTGAATGTGCATTATTTAGATTGGTTAAAGGTATTGTAGATGATGTTTATGGACTATCATCCAGCGGTGAATGGGATGAAATAGATGGCGGTGATGATAAGAGTAATGACTGACATTTATTGAGTACTTACTATATGTCACACATTGTCCTAAGGTCCTTATATGTATTCACTCATTTAACCCCTTCAAGGACCCTATGTCATAGGTCCTCTTATCCAGATGTGGAAGTTGAGGTATTGAGTCAGATGACCTGACCAATGCCACAACACTAATGATGGATAGAGCCTTGGAATGTGAACTAGGCAGTCAGACTCCAGAGCCTGCACTCTTAACCTTGCCCCTAAATGCTGCTGCAATTGACCGATACAGCGTGTACCTCAGAACCCAGAGAGTGCACTACACACTTGTCTCAGAGCTTTCTGAGGGCCTGTTAGATTGACAAAATAGTGGCACTCTCCATGTGAGAAGATAGGTGCTCTCGAACACTGTTGGGAAGAAATTACTGCAAAATTTCTTACGAAATTTGGTGCCATTAGTCTAATTGTAAAATGTGTGTATGCCACGATTTAACAATGACACTTCTAGGGAGGAAGTATATAACGGGCACCGTGTTGCATGTATAAGATGTTTTCCTTTTTCTTCCTAGCATTTTTGGTGTGATTGTGGAAGGGGAAGAATAGTAACTTTACAGAAACAGTTGCTTAGGCACCAGTGGCCATAGGGTATGAGACTGACGTTACATGTGCTTGATGTTCTAGGAGGCAGTGACCTTCAAGGATGTGGCTGTGGCCTTCACTGAGGAGGAGCTGGGGCTGCTGGACTCTGCCCAGAGGAAGCTGTACCGAGACGTGATGCTGGAGAACTTCAGGAACCTGGTTTCAGTGGGTGAGCACAGGCACCCTCTGTAATTCAGCAGGGTTTCTCAACCTCCATGCTTTTGATGTTTTGGGCCAAATAATTCTGTATCGTATCAGGCTACCCTGTGCATTTTGGGATGCTGAGTAGCATCCCTGGTCTCTCTCCCCTTGTTCAAGGCTTTGGGACTTTTCAGAGACTAGAGTTTTTCTATCTCCTTAGAGCATAGAGACAAGATATTTCTGGCCTTTGATCCAAGGCAAATGATTGTCTTTTAGAAATGAACTATAAATGAACAGTTGAGCTTGGCTTCTCCTGATTCCTTAGGTCATTTATCTTTTTTAAACTTGTGGGTCATGAAATTAGTAAGTTGCATCGGCATTTTTGTAATAAAAGAGAGTAACGATATCAGAGCTCCTTAGCCAGAATGGTGCACATTGTGGTAATAACTACAGCTGCTTGTAGTAAGGGATGTGATGAAAACAGACACTGGTTAGAAACAGGTCCTTCAATCTTTTACTTCAATAGTTTACATAGGGTAATGTATTTCCAGTGATAGTAAATGTATTTCTTATAGTGTGTCATGATGAAAGATGTTTCCTGAACATTGCCTGGAGGGGCAGGGCAGAGCCTTACATTGTGTGGTTGACACCGGAGTTTTTCAGTACTCTTTGCCTTTAACATTTTCACTTAAATACTGTCTTCTTACAGGACGTCAGTCCTTCAAACCAGATATGATATCCCAGTTGGAGAGGGAAGAAAAACTTTGGATGAAGGAGTTTCAAACCCAAAGAGGTAGGCATTCGGGTGAGAGCCATGCAGCTGGAATCGTAGATAACAGCTGTTATTTTTCCTTTAATCAGGATAATTTCTTCTCCACTCAGCTATCAGACTTTTTTTTTTTAAACATCTGTCATGGCCAGGCACTGTGGCTCAAGCCTGTAATCCCAGCACTTTGGGTGGCTGTGGCGGGTGGATCACTTGAGGTCAGGAGTTCAAGACCAGCCTAGGCAACATAGCAAAACCCTATCTCTACAAAGAATAAAAAAGTTAGCTAGGTGTGGTGGGTGCGCCTGTAGTCCCAGCTGCTCAGGAGGCTGAGATGGGAGGATCGCTTGAACCAGAGGCAGGGGTTGCAGTGAGCCAAGATCCACCACTGCACTGCAACCTGAGTGACAGAGCGACATTTTGTCTCAGAAAAAAAAAAGAATGAAAACATCTGTCACATCATGTCACTCCTCTGCTTCAGTCCCTCGATTGGCTTCCCATTTCACTGAGTAAAATCCAGTGTATTTACAGGGCGTGTAAGGCTGTATAATGTTCGCCTATTTACCTAGCTTTACCATTCTGTGTTTCTTGTCATTTCCCCCTGCCTTTGTCTCTGCCACCCTCACTTGTTCCTCAAATATGACTCCTGTGTCACAGCCTTTTACTTTCTTTTCTCTGGCTGGAATGCTGTGTTTTCTTAAACCTCTGTCCTCTTTCTTTCTTATTTATTTTCTGAAATAGGGTCTCACTCTGTTGCCCAGGCTGAAGTGCAGTGGCACTGTCTCTGCTCATAGCAACCTCCACCTCCCAGGCTGAAGCGATCCTCCCACCTCAGTCTTCCGAGTAGCTGGAACTACAGGCGCGTGCCACCACACCCGGCTAATTTTTGTATTTTTTGTACAGATGGGGTTTCCCCATGTTGCCCAGGCTGCTCTTGAACTCCTGGATTCAGGCAGTCTGCCCACCTCAGCCTCCCCAAAGTGGTGGGATTATAGAAGTGAACCACTGCACCCAGCCCCTCTTCCTTTTTTCATTCATGTCTCTGCTCCGAAGTCATTTCATGAGAGGCCTTCTTAAAATACCATCTTCCCTTCCCTTTCCATGTCCTTAATTTGCCTGAATTTGTGTGTGGACACTACAACACCAAGGCTTATTCACATATATTTATTTCTAATTGTGGTAAAATATACATAACATAACCTTTAACATTTTAACCATTTTTGAGTACGTAGTGGCATTAAGTACATTCACATCGTTGTCCAGCCATTACCAGGATTCATCTCCGAAACTTTTTCATTGTTCATAGCAAAACTCTATACCCGTTAAACAATGACTCCGCATTTGACCCCTCCCTGCAGTGCCAGTTAACCATTATTCTCCTTTAGGACTCTGAATTTGACTACTCCAGGGACTCCATTTACGTGGAATTGTAAATTTGCCCTCTTGTGTCTGGCTTATTTCACTTAGCCTAATATCTCTGAGGTTCATCTATGCTCTAGCATGTGTTAGAATTTTTGTCTTTTTTATGGCTGAATAATATTCCATTGTAGTACAGTTGGCCCTTGAACACTGTTTTCCACAACAGCCGCACCATTTTACATTCCCACCAGCAGTGCACAAGAGTTCTGATTTCTCCACATGCTCACCAACATTTGTTGTTTTCTGTTTTTCAATAATATCCATCTGAATGGGTTTGAAGTGACATCTCACTGTGGTTTTGATTTGCATTTCTCTAATGATTAGTGATGCTGATCACCTTGTCATATGCTTATTGGCCGTTTGTATTAATATATCTTCTTCAGAGAAATATTCAAGTTCATTGCCCATTTTTGAATCAGGTTTTTTTGTTGTTGAGTTTTGGAAGTTCTCTCTATATTCTATATGTTAGTTCCTTAGCAGATGTATGACTTGAAAATCTTTTCTTCATTTCTGTTTGTTACCCTTTTTACCCTGTAGGTATAGTATCTTTTTTTTTTTTTTTTTGAGACGGAGTTTTGCTGTTGTTACCCAGACTGGAGTGCAATGGCATGATGTCGGCTCACCACAACCTCCGCCTCCTGGGTTCAAGCAATTCTCCTGCCTCAGCCTCCCGAGTAGCTGGGACTACAGGCACGCACCACCATGCCCAGCTAATTTTTATATTTTTTAGTAGAGACGGGGTTTCACCTTGTTAACCAGGAGGGTCTCGATCTCTTGACCTCGTGATCCACCCGCCTCAGCCTCCCAAAGTGCTGGGATTATAGGCGTGAGCCACTGCCCCTGGCTTAGGTATAGTATCTTTTGATATAAAAAGTTTTTAGTTTTCATGAGGTCAAGTTTGCCTGTTTTTTCTTTTATTGCCCCTGCTTTTGTTGTCACATCCAAGAAACTACAAAATCCAGTGTTGTGAAGTTTTCGCCATATGGTTTCTTCTAGGAGTTGCGCAGTTTTCACTCCTACGTTTAGGTCTTTGATGCATTTTAACTTGATCTTTGTATAAGGTAAAGGTTGGCCTTCGTTCTTTTACATGTGGATATCCAGTTTTCCCAGCCCCATTTGTTCAAAAGACTATCCTTTCCTTATTGAATGGTCTTGGCAGCATTGTCAAAAATGATTTGGCCCTATATGCAAGAGTTTATTTCTGGGCTCTCTAGTCTGTTCCATTGGTCTATATGTCTTTATAACAGTTTTGGTAAATGGAGCTTTATAATAAGTTTTTAAATCAGAAAGGAAAAAAATCCCTCCATATTTTTTCTTCTTTTCAAGATTGTTTTGGCTATTTGTGGACTCCTGTAATTTCATCTGAGTTTTAGGATGAGTTTTTCTATTTCTGCAAAAAAGAAATTGGGGTTTTAATAGGGATTACATTAAATCTATAGATTGCTTTGGGTGATATTGGTAACAATATTAAATCTTCCAATCCATGAATATTAATTTCCATTTATTTATCATTTTTAATTTCTCTCAACAGCATTATATAGTTTTCAGTATACAAGTTTGGTGCTTGATTAAGCTGATTTTTAAATATTTTATTCTTTCTGATGCTATTGTACCTAGATTTGTTTTCTTACTCTTTTCTGAATAATTTGTTCATACATAGAAACAGTTGATTTTTGTGTGTTGACTTCATATCCTGCTACCTTGCTGAATTGGTTTATTAGTATTGACAGTTTTTTGTGGAATCTTTAGGGGTTCTACATACATCTTTTATGACCAGAAATAATTTTACATCTTCCTTTCCAGTTTAGATGCTTTTTCTTTATTTTTCTTGCGTAGCTCTGGCTAGAACCATCAGTAAGTAGTACTGTGTTGAATAGAAGTGGTAAAAGTGGGCATCCTTGCCTTGTTCTGATACTAGAGGAAAAGCTTTCATTTTTCACCATTGACTGTGATGCTTGCTTTGGGTTTTTAATGTATGGCTTTTATTATGTTGAGTTAGGTTTTTTCTACTCCTGGTTTAAGAGTTTTTATCATGAAAAGATTTTTTATTTTGTCAAATGCTTTTTCTACATCAATTGAGATGATTATGTGTTTTTTTTTCTTCGTTCTGTTGGTGTGGCATATTACATTGATTGGTTTTCATATGTTACACCATCCTTGCATTCCAGAACTAAATCTCATTTGGTCATGGTGTAATCCTTTTAAAATGCCTCGAATCTCTTTACTAGGATTTTCTTGTGGATATTGATATCATTGTTTGTAAGGGACATTAGTCTGTAGTTTCCTTTTCTTACAGTGTCTTTGTCTGGCTTTGGTATTGGGGGAATCCTGGCCTTACAGAATGAACTAGGAAGTATTCCTGCCCTTCGGTTTTTTGGAAGAGCGAAATAGATTGGTGCTAATTCTTCTTCAAATGTCTGATAGAAATCACTAGTGAAAATCCAGGGCTTTTCTTTGCTAGGAGGTTTTTGATCACTGATTCAATATCCTTCATAATTATAGATCTATTCCTATATTCTGTTTCTTCCTGTTTCAGTGTTAGGTTGTGGGTTTCCAGGAGTTTGTTCATTTCATCTAGGTTATCTAATTTGTTGGTATACAGTTGTTCATGATACTCTCTTATCCTTTTGTTTCTATAATGTCAGTAGTAATGTACCCACTTTGATTTGTGATTTTAGTAACTTAGTCTTTATTTTTCTTAATCAATCTAGCTAAATGTCAATTTTATTGATCTTTTCAAGGAACCGGCTCTTGTTTATTGTCTCTATTCTCTATTCTTAATTTTGTTTATTGCTGCTCTTCATAAGATTAGATTCTTTTCTTCTGTTAAGCTGTGGGTTTAATTTGGTTTTGTTTTTTGGGAGCCATTAGGGAACCTCCCTGTCAGTAGAGATGCTCACAGTTTCTTCAGCCATTCCAAGCTGGGGCCCTAGGAGTCCTGGGGGAGTGGCTGGGCATGTCAGGCATGCTCCCATCATTTCAGATAGGCATTGGATAATTAATTGTAGGGTGTGGCCTGGTTGATCATGATTACATACTTGGTGTAGGGGTTGAGTGGGGGCAGAATTATAGGATGACCCACAATGGTGAAGGACAAAACCAGCACCAGCTCCTTGGCCCAGGCATTTGTGAGGAAGGCAGCAAGTCTTGCAGCAGTGGCAATGGCTTGTTATTTTTTTCAATTCCTTAAAGTATAAGATTATGATGTTGATTTGAGACCTTTCTGTTTTAAGCATTTATAGCTATAAATTTCCCCCTTAGCACTGTTTATATTGTGGATTTGTTTTCATTTATCCCAAGGTATTTTCTCATTTCCCCTGTGATTTCTTCTTTGATCTACTGGTTGTTTGTGTGTTATTTAATTTTCACATACTACTGAATTTACACATACTACTGAATTTATTTTGCTATTCATTGCTAGTTCCATTTTGATAGCAGAGATACTTTGTGTGATTTTAATCTTTTTATATTTATTAAGGCTTTTTTGTGGCTTAACATTTGGTGTATCCTAGAGAATGTTCTATATGTACTTCAGAAAAATGTGTGTTCTGCTGTTACTGGGTGGAGTGTTCTGTATAATCATAGTGTCTCTCTCTATATACACACAC